AAACAAAAGAAACCTTGTCTTGCTGAGCAGATGTGTGACTGCTTTTCTTTCTTTCTTTTTCCTTCAAATGTTACCATATTCCAAGGCACAGAGTTAAGGTTACTAGTGTTTCACTGATAACAAGTGTAGAGAAACAAAGCAATTCTATAACCTGTTTGACTCTTACTCTGTTTAAATGTCTTCCCACTTTTGTTCCCCAGCAACATCTTTGTGTGTGTCTCTGCTTAGTCTGGAATACAATCTTCAAGTGTCTTCCTCTGCCTCCCCCATCTCTTTCATTCTGTTCTCATCCCCCCTAAGGTTTTGACTGATACAGCTTATTCTTTTCTTTAAAAAAAAGGAATTTAGGCACAAGCACATTTACCAGTGAAAAAGCAATGAGAAGTCAAGGAAAAGGACAATTCACCAGAGATTAGTTAGTTTAGTACAACACCAGATGAGTTAAGGATTAGTAAAGAACATGTGCACTGGCTTTAATAAAAGATTCTCCTTTTCAGTAAGTCACAGAATCACATACCACCCAAACCACTGAGCAGCATCTGCTACTCACTTGTTCCATTTCCATTTAACTCCTTACCTGGTATGTGACTCATCTCAACAGAATGGTTTCTCAGATGTCCTCTTCTGTGTTGCTGTCAGGAGCCATGAGTACTAGCTGGTGTCTTCCTTACTCAAGAGCTCGCTATTCCACGTTACCATGCATCAGCAATTACGTAATTAACAATTATGACACGGGCAGACCCTGTTTAAGCCTGTGAAGCACATGAAAACTAGCACGGGTATTGGCTAATGAAACTATGAAACTTGTTCTAATCTTACAGATGATTCTTAGTGATTTGGTTAACAGTCTCTTCAGCAATTTTAGAAAATGAATCTAGATGTGAAAACCCTATTGACACTTCGGTTTCCTGAGCAGTGCTCACAAGATTTTAGATTTAAATGCCTGGTTATTCCCTTCACTAAAACCATGTTACTTTATGAATATATTATAAAAGCCTTCTTCCAATAAAAACAAGTACTTTGAACTGTTTTTGTATATTAAAAGGCCTCATCAGTCCTTCTGTTGCATTTAACCATAAGGGAAAGAAGAAACATGGATATATCGCTTTGTAAACTGAGATAATTTAATAGAAGAATCTAATCAGATAAATCAGTAAGATTCTGAGGATTTCTTGAATACATACACAAATACGTATATAACACTTTGTCCAGTGACAGTTTGTAAGAAAAATATATTTTTTTATGATTTTACTACCTTTCTACTGTAATGAAACTCTGCAAATGCTGCCAGGTCGCTCATGACAGAATAGACATCACTAATACATTGTTTTATGTATAACTGCAGTTCAGAAAGAATGACAAGGTACTGGTTCTTGTTACAGTAGTATCTGAATAACCCCCTTGAAGCATGACTGGCAAAGCTACGAGCTAGCAGTTCCTTTCTCAATACAAATGAAAACTTGAGGTTGTTTCCACAGAAAGTTCCTCAGTTTCATCAAGACAGCTTCAGTCCTTGAACATTCTGTTTCAGATTGAGTAACTCCTTCTCTTGCCTTGTTTTCTCCAACTTGAAGGCGAGCTTGTTGGCTTTCTTTTCCATCCTGCGTTCCTGTGCATACCAATAATTACAGATTTAGAAAATACGCATAACATGCAAAAAGAAATCATTCTAATTGACAGTTCTAGATCATGAAAACAGCAGCGATTTGGACAATATTATTTAGGGCACCAATTCCTAGCAGACAAAATAATATGTGTACCACAACAATTACCATCTTTAATTAGCTGAAGCTTCTGATACACTGGCAATTTCTGTTCCTAAATAAAACAACCAGTATCTCATTGTGGCAAATTAGATTTCACACATTTCTTTCAGAGACTTTTTACTTTGTGTGATCTGAAGTATCACAACTGTTCCCTTTGCCTCCCTAGAAAATGAAATATGAGGGCTCCTTCCAAAGTTATTATGGCCACAATTACATACATAGCAGTCCCAAACTTTCCACATCAGCAATTAGGATGACAAAATTATGATGTTAACTTTCTTTCCAGCACTTTTTTTTAAAGAAGCAATAGTCTTTTGAGACCATTACTTTCCAGAGACAAGAACAAGCGAGCTTTAAAAAAAGTTTGAGAGACAGAATTCAGACAATATAACATATTTTTGCAGGATCTTATGTAAAACAAGGTGTACCTTTCGCTCCTCTTTTATTGCCTGTTTTCTAGCTTTGCGATCCTCTTTGCTCTCATCTTTGGAACGTGGCTGTGTTGATGCTCTTGGCAGGTCGCTGCCATTAATCATTTGCATGCGTTCAATCTGCTTAGCAGTAAGACTTTTCTGAGGCAAGATATGTAGAGGAATTCCAGTCTTCTGGGAAATTTTTATTGGCTTGGGCTAAAACAGAGAGCACGTTATGTATTAATGGTCCCTAGCTCTCTCTGCAAGAAGTGCACATCACACTGCTTTATCAGGATAAAAAGATTAGATTCAGATTTAACAGTAATAAAGATGAAGTTGCCTTGCACTATTTTCTTTCCTCAGAAAAATGCACATTAATCCCAAAGTAAGAAATCAGTGAAGAGAATCTGGCCTCCCAGAACAAGAAGAGATGTAAATTCTCCCTTTTATTTAAATATTACTAAAAAGCACTTAACATTCCTTTATAAACTTCCACAAAACAAGCTTCCTTTCACAATTTGGAAGATAAAGCTGTGCTCTAATGATGGGGAGTGTCTAGAAGACCAAAGAACTAGAAGAAACTGTTTCAAACTCTAGAAGGGAAATAAAAGCCTATTTTCAAGGAAAAAAAAACAACAAACCCCAATTCGTGATTGTGAGACATAGATTACACAAAAATATATCACAGGTAACAAGAAAGTAAATTCTGTATCTCTACATTTCTGCCCTGCTATTACAGAAATTTCAAACTTAAGCTATTTTCCTTTTACTAACAGAAAAAAATATCCAAACCCTTCTTCACTGCAGAAGTAATATCAGAGGTTAACACCCTCCCCAAACCTCTTTTCTTCTCCCTTCTTCTTTTAAAACAGATATCCATTGAGAAAACAATCATTTTGGTCTCAATTTTTTTCCAGGCCAGGGTATTTCTTAGAGTAAGTTTAATGATTTTACCTTTGATGGCTCCTTAATAAGGGTTGGGTGATTATATAAGTTTGAATAGGTACCTAGGTCACAAAGAGAAAAAAAAAAAAATAGTAGTGAAGGCTTGCAAATAGACATTAGGTAAATTTATTATGAATTCTATTACTAGAATTCATTACTAGACTACTTAGTCTTTGAAAATTCACAAGCATTAACTATTCTATCTAAAGCACTGTTAGAAAGGTTCTGAGATCACCTATCATTTCCTTTGAAATCCTAGGAAGACACAAGCAAACTCCAAAATACTTACTCAAAATGGATTCGCAATCCCATTTTTCTTTTGGTTCCTCAACAACTACAGTTACTATTTCTTCCTTCTCTTCCTCACTTTCTTCGTTCACAGGAGAGTCTAAATCTTCACAAGGTTCAAGAGTATCCAATTTCACGCAACTTTAAAGAAGTCCAAAGAACAAAAAAATACGGTTTATCTTTTCTTGACAATGTGTAATTATGTAAACCTAGTATCCTCTCAGTAAAACCCCAAGCTAAAGAAAGCTATTCCCAATGGAATTGGCAGCAAAATTAAGTTTCCTTAAGTAAATATCCACAAAATAAACTATAACATTAGGACAAGAGATATAGTCAACAAAAGTATTTTGGCATTTTGTATGTGGCACATAATATTTGTGACTGGAGGGCAGGAAGAGAAGAAGATGTACTTTTTAGTCTGTAAGCAAGGCAGCTCTGGAGGAGATTATGTACTCTGCTACTAACCAGTCATCTTTCGCTACAATGGACACACTACTGTATCTTTCAATCAGGAAACACAAGATTAATGTGAGAACATTTAGTCATTTACCTTTATGATACTATCACCTGCTTTACGACAAAGTGAATATACTATGGAAATGAAGTCTTACATGGTCATGGGGCTGCTTTATAAGTACTGATTTTTGCAGTGCTACAACAGTGATAAGAGTCACTTGCGAGTTTATTATCATGTAACTAGGTATACAGTGGAATCAGCTGCTCACCAGCAGGACAGAAGAGACTTTGCTAGAACAGCCAAAAGCAAAGGTAAAGGCGTAGGGAGAAAGGTAAGTTACACTAAAAAGGGAGAGGAAGAATGTCTCCAAATATTACTTGCACTATCTTCAATATAATTACACAAAAGGAGCATAATCTCACATAAACCATCAAAATGCCTCCACTTAATTTTATCATCTTATAAGCTAAGACTGACATTCAGTGACATAAAAAAAAAATAGATGATATTAATACATAGCTGCTTTTACTGTGGGATGTAATCTTCGAGTACAAGAACTGAAAACAGCATACCCAAAGTTTCAATACAAACACAGGACTATGTAACTACTTAAATGAAGCAGTACTTCTGGGGATACGTACTTTTTTGCTTTCTCTTTGTAGTAATCATTCAGGACTTCCTGCAACCGAGCATTGTCTGTGTTAATATAGCCTTCTAACTCCACATTATCCAAGGCTCCAATTTCATCTTCATCAAATTGTTCAAAAAACTAAAATAAAGAAGTGAATATCTGTGATTAGATCACATTTGCTGTGCAACTTCTTGAAAGCCTAAAGAAGATCTACACATTCCTTTCTATTTGCTCCCTTTCCCCACTCCCATCCCATTTGCAGAAAAACTGCCAAACACATCTGCAGTAGGATTTCTTCCTTACTGTCAGTATTCTTCTGGCACAGGAGTCACAAAGTTATCTTTTAATAATATATAAATCTAATACATTATTTCAATCTGCATATTAAAAAAACCTGTCACTGCTCATGACAAAAGTTACATCGTACTTCCACTGCTCTGACATCATTCCATGAAGGTATACTTGGCACAGAGCAGAGAAAAGATGAAAGTAGTGAGTCTTTTCCGGGCATTTGCACAGGCATACAGGACACCACCTCGTGTGCATTTCCATTGAGAGACAAAATCAGAAGACAAAAATAGCATTTAACACCATTATGTTTAACAGGAACTTTCTTCAGCTGGCTCACCTTCTCAAATCTGTCATCCAACAGGGTTAACTGTTCATTCCTTCTCATTACTGAAGATGTCATAGAATACTCTGTGAAACGACTCCTGGTTTCTTCTTGCATAAAAAGAAATTCTTTCATCTGTCCATTAATCCCATCATCTGATAAAGGCCCTTCTGAATCATAGTCTTTATCATTACTGCAACTATCCTTTTCATCACTGTCATCCTCCATATCTTCCCACTCATCTTCATCCTCAGCATCTGATCCCCTGAACAGAAGTATAAAGCAGTTTTAGATTAATACATGGACCTATCCACAGCTCTGACCAATGCTGGGTTGAGAAAAAAAAAATTATCTTCAAGCCAGTAAAAGAAGAACGAGTTTTGCAGTAACTGTGTTGCCAAAGTCAGCAACACTAATTTTGTCTGAAAGCTAAAACATTTCTGATAACTTCTGGATCACGCATCTGTGTGCTCAGAGTGAGGTTATATTTACATTCAGCTACACGTGTCATAGGAGAAAAATACTAGATGCATTCCTGAATATTAAAACTATCAAAATCCCTTAAGGTTCATAAAATGATGAGAATGATAGCAAAAGAAATAATATGTAGTGGGGTATCACATGAAGCATTTGTAAAGGTTCTGGCAACACTCACTGACCTTCACCAATATTATTACCAATGTATTTGTCAGCACTGACCCTGCCCAGAGCAGGGGAGTTGGAACTGTATGACCTTTAAGGTTCCTTCTGACCCAAACCATTCTATGATTCTATTTTAAATGTTTTTAAAAGTTCAAGAATCCTATTACTCCATACATTGCATCTGGAAACAAATACATATAAACCATGAGCTCAAAGTAACAAATGAAACCTATCTCTTGGATAACACATGAAAATTTGATTTTGTAAGCCACCATCCACATAAGACAAGCTAACACTTTTTCCTTTAACACACTTAAGCATTCAATTTGAATCCTGAAACCATTCTTGCTTCCTACAAGAACATAAAAATAACAAATAGCATCATTCCTATTTACATAAGACAAACAGTTCTATAAAGCTTTATCTACCCCTTCTGTGGGTCATTTGCTTGTAGAACAAAATCATCTTCCAGGATGTTTTCTGGATTTTCAAAGTCAAAATCATCATCAAGAGCTGCAACAATATCAGGGTCAAAGTCTAGCCGTGGTCCTAGAAGTTCAAAAACAAACAAACCACACATAAATATGTAAGTTTCTCTGACATTACGAAGCTGCTTTCCTGGATAAGAATCAATCCAGCTAGACTGTTAATTTGCACTAAGGAAAAAGATTCAACTTAAGTATCACAAGATTCCTCAATAATATTTATAGGTCTGGTACAAGCCAGGACAAGTCACCAGCCTTTTCTCAATTTTCCTCATCCAGAAATGAAAACTCTCCAGAGGTCTTACACTTCCATAAATGTATTCTCATACATCTTATTTAGAATATTGTAGAAACAAAAATATCCAAGTACTGTACAATCAACTGCAAACCTAACTCCCAGCCCCTAAAATTCCCTGCATTACAAAAGGTCAGAAAGTGTTTCTCTAATGCAATTAACAGCAGTGTCTTTAGCATCCTTGTGTCAGGACAGAGACGTACCACCATTACTTCTCGTTATAAAGAATTAAGATAGCTGTACAGTGAATGTTCAGTGCAAACACAGATACATAACAAAAGCATACGAACAGCCTGTAACACTAAAATGATACTAATGAACACCACTCAGCATATGAAAATAAGAGAATTTTTGAGAGTGAAAATCCAGTTCCAGTCTTGGATTCAAACGGAGTAACAAATCAACAGGATGAGCTACAGTTTTCCCCTATTACTATTCTGTATTTGCTACACAATACTAAAAGCTCATGGATTCTGCATTCCCCACATCCCCAGCAAAGCACAGACAGAGGTCTCAAACTGAAACACAGGTCTCACAAATCATTATTTATGTCTGCTATCAAGCCTGTTCTAAACGAAAACTAATATAACACTGCACTTGAAGCCATCATTACCATCTAGTACCCAGACGGCAACTCAAGTTACAGAAAGGTAAAAGATTTAATGATACCTGAAACAGGAGCAGCTTTATTTAACAAGCCCACGTCTTCTTCAAACTCTGTGGCAAATACTGAGGAAGGCAACTTAATAGTTGGAGCCTTACAAAAAGAAACAAAAACTAGTATTACAATATATTTGTTCTCAGTTTTTCATTTGAGTCCACATTAATGAAAATGTGCAGATAATCATGTGACCAAAAGAAACTCTGTGGACATTACGTATATATTAAGACAAGCACTACTTTTTTGGTGGCAAATTTTCAAAATTATGCAATGAAAGCCAGGTAAAGCGTTGGCAGCATTCATTCTCATATCAGTATTCTCCAGGCAGAGAAACAGTATTTTTTCATCTCTCAAGCTTTTTAGAGAATGGTTGTACAGCACAATGAAATTTGTAACATTTTTTGTTTTGGAGAACACTAACACGTATTTGAAATTACCCCTTTATTGAAAGGCTTTATAGAATCATAGACTGGTTTGGGTTGGACAGGACCTTCCAGATCCAACCCCCGCCATTGGCAGGGACGCCTCACACTAGACCACGTCACCCAAGACTCTGTCCAACTTGACCTTGAACACTGCCAGGGATGGAGCATTTACCACGTCCTGGGACAACCTGTCCCAGTGCCTCACCACCCTCACAGTAAAAACCTTCTTCCTTCTATCTAACCTGAACTTCCCTGTTAAACCCATTACTCCTTGTACTGTCACTACAGTCCCTGATGAAGAGTCACCAGGAATTGAAAAGTTTGTTTTTATTCCCCACAGGAAAACACACAACTTGTTCAAATACCTTCGTAAGCCATCTCTTTCAAGGAAAGCTTGGCATGGGTACACAGTTTTTTAAGCTTGTGCTAGCAAAAACTTTGGCTTGTCAACTTTTGTTCTTGTAGGAAAGTCTTACTGTGGGTCAAAAGGATCTTTATATATAAAGAGAGATCACAGTCACTATATACAGATATGGTTAATGTGTCTACAGAATGCTAACAGCCTAAAATTATTATCAGCAAAAATACTGCTTACTGGAACTCGCTGAATTTCATCTTCTATGCGCCCCTCACTTGTGACAACAATTCTGCTTTGCTGCCCACGCACAGAAGGGACAAGCTCAGAGGGACCAGAGGCTTCTTTCAGATGCTGAAGATAGTCATAGTCATCATCAAAGAAGACTCCGTACTTCCGCTGCTCCTCCCTCCTTCGCTCCTCATGACCCTTAGAATCGTAAAAAGAAATACATGGAGTTACTCAAGTCCATTTAAAACTTACTAGCAAAAAGAAAAGCAAGCCATCTATTGAGAATAACTGAATTCTAAAGTCCTGCAGTCCTCTCTCCACTCATTACCCTACAGCCTATTAAAACATTGTCAGTGACTGGTTCAGTGTTCAGGTGCTGTGTGTCAGGGCCTTAAACAACTTTTTCCATAAGCAGCATAACTAACAAACCCTGTTTCCTCAGGGTGGGTGAAGCATCTTTCTTGGTTTTTTATACATTTATATCTCTAATGCCAGTTAAGGTGACCCATCAGGTTGTAACTCACAACTATCAAATTCCCAGCAACATCCCCCTCCTTTTAATAAGATGGACTAAAAACTACCTTCTCTCAGACACGTTTTGAATTGTATAATTTCATACCAACTTTTCTCTCCTGCAGCACTTCTTATGTGAATGAACCTTGGTATTAGAAGAGAGTATTTACTTTCTGCGTAGGCAGCAGAACTCTCTGGGGTGCAGTATCATCAGCAGCAAGTGGATCCCTCTGACTTCTGTGTACTAAATGAAATGTTACTGCTTTCTTCTTCTCTATGAAAGGTTTCTTCTTCTTGTGAGGCTGAAAAAGGACATTTGGATAATTATTACATGAAATGAAATTAAATGCACCTAAAAGAGAATTTTTTTGCCAGGAGCATGCTACTGTATTCCCTTTAAGGCAATATCTTGTCAACATATTTAGAGATAAAAAGCAAAAACAGACTAGTGGTAGCTTAACATCACCTTCACAACAGCCATTTCATATGTTCTAATAGTATATTCAGTTGCAAAACAGCAACACATCTGTACAACAAATATTTAGTTGTAGCATATACACCTTAACATAATCCTAGAAAAGAATTTTTAAGTAAATACTTTCTAAACACTGGGTCAAATTTTAAACAAACTTAATCAAGCAATATAGGAACCTGACATTAGGAAATTCATCCAGACACACCTAGCTCCTTGAAAATTGTTTAGACAGCTGTTCCTACACCAGTAATTCACTATCAACCATGAAGGCTGCACCACTACACAGACATAGTTCTAACATCAAAAATGTATCTACATTACGGATCAACACAAATCTCAAGTGTTCTAACTGGGTGAAAGCCTGTTCTACAAGTTAGCACATCTGGCTTGGGGAACCACTTTAATCAAAGTGTCCAGCTTTACCTAGACACCAGATCATGTTAACAGATAGACACGCTTAGCAAACTACTCTATGAATCTAGCCATCTTCTTTACCTGGTAACATTAAGTATACAACACGACACATTATGTCATATCAAAGCCCAGAGTCTATCAACTGCCATCATACGTTTTGAGTTAAACCCCCCCAAACTGCGCTTTAAAGTCTTATGCTCGGAGCAACCACAAAAGGAAACACAGTACGTTTTTGGAAGCACACCACTTGCTACCCTTGCAAACCTGC